TGCTTTTATATTTTTTTTTGGAAAAAGAACATTTTCTTCTCCCTACCCCTTACATTTTCCTCAGAAGTTATAATTTTACTCCCATCTCCTTATCTCTTTTTTTTAGGGTATCTTATTGATTTTTTTTCTTTGTTGGGTTATAATTTATACATTAAAATGTACAGAATTCATGTATATGGTTTAACAAATGTGTGTACCACCATCTAAATAAAAATATAGAACATTTTCATCATCTAAGAAAGATTCCTTGTTTCTCTATCCAGTCAATCCCATAGTAACCACAGTTCTTATTCCTTTCACTCGATATTAATTTTACCTGTTCTTGAGCTTCAAATAAGTGGAATCATACACTATGCACTCTTTGTGTCTGACTTTTTTGCTTAACATAATGTTTTTAAAATTCATCTGTTGCACATATCATTCCTTGTATTGTATCACAATATGTTTATCCCTTCTCCTGTTGATAGATACTTAAATCATTACCTTTTTTTGACTATTATTAATAAAGTGGCTGTGAACAATTTTGTGAACATATGCTTTGATTCTTCTTGAGTATATTCTTAGGAGTGGAATTGCTAGGTCTTATGTTCAATTTTATTAGAAACTGCCAAACTATTTCCTAAAGTGGTTGTACTGTTTTACGTTCTTAGCAATGTATGGGATTTCAAGTTGCTCCATATTTTCTCTGATACTGGCATTGTCAGATTTTTATTTTTAGTCATCTTATTGGATGTGAAGTGGTATCTCATGGTTTTAATTTGCATTTCACTGATAACTACCGATATTGAGCAGTATCTAGTAATTCATCACGGTTAACTGTGTTTATTGGTCATTCATAGCTTCTTTTGCTAAGTCTCTGTTCAAGTCTTTTGGCTCGTTTTTAAAAAAAAAATTGGATTGTTTAGGTTTAAATATTATCCTCATATGTCCTGGTTGTGAGTCCTTTGTCAGATATACAGTAGTTCCCCCTTTTCCACGGTTTTGCTTTCCACAGTTTCAGTTACTGGTATTCAACTGCAGTCTGAAAATAATAAACGGAAAATTCCAGAAATAGACAATTCACAAGTTTTAAATTGCAAGCCCTGGGCTGGCCCCGTGGCTTAGCGGTTAAGTGCACGCGCTTCGCTGCTGGCGGCCTGGGTTCGGATCCCGGGCGCGTGCTGATGCACCGCTTCTCTGGCCATGCTGAGGCCGCGTCCCACATGCAGCAACTGGAAGGATGTGCAACTATGACATACAACTATCTACTGGGGCTTTGGGGGAAAAAAAAATTAAAAAAAAAATTTGCAAGCCCTTCTGAGTAGCATGATGAAATCTCTTGCCATCCTGCCCGGGATGCTACGTTTCAAGGCCTACATCATTCACCTCACTTCATCTCATCACATAAATGTTGTATCATCTCACATCATCATAAGAAGAATGGTGGGTACAGTAAATAAGATATTTTGAGAGAGACCTCATTGATATAACTTTAATTATGGTATGATGTTAACAATTGTTCTGTTTTATTATTAGTTATTGTTGTTAATCTCTTACTGTGCTTAACTTATAAATTAAACTTCATCATAGGTAAGTATATATAGGAAAAAACATAGTATATATAGGATTCATTACTATCCACGGCTTCAAGCATCCACTGGGGGTCTTGGAACATATCCCCTGCAGATAAGGGGGGACTACTGTGTGTATTTTGAGTCTTGCCTGTAGTCTATGGCTTCCCTAATTATTTTCTTAACTGTGTCCTTTGATAGGCATGTTTATTTTAATGAAGTTCATTTTCTCAATTTTTAATTTTATTGTCAGTGCCTCTTGTGTCCTCTCGAAGGAATCTTGGTCTGTCTCAAGATTGTGAAGATATTCTCCAATGTTTTCTTCCATGTGAATGTCTTTTTATTCTAGGACCATTTGTTGAAAGATCATTTTTTCCCTACTGAATCACAGTGGGTCCTCTGTTGTAAAATGAAGTATAAATGTGAATGTATTTCTGGACTGTTATGGATTTATTTGTCTTTATGCTAGTACTTTACTGTCTTAATTACTTTAGCAAAGTAAATCTTAAAATTAGGTTGTATATTTTTCATCAAAATTATTTTAGCTATTCTAGGTCCTTTGGATTTTCATATTAGTTTTAGAATCAGCTTGTCGGTTTCTACAGAATACCTGCTGGGATTTTTATTAGGATTGTGTTGAATTTGTAGATGAATCTGGGGAGAATTGAGTCTTACGACATTGTGTCTTCCAATTCATGTACATGATATATCTCTATTTAGGTCTTTAATGTCTTTCAGCAATGTTTTGAAGTATTTTTAGGTAGAGTTCTTGCTCATCTTTCATTGTTTATTCCTAGATTTATTTTTGATGCTGTAAGAGTGGTATTTTTAAAAAATTTTATTTTCCAAATGTTTACTGGTAGTATGTAAAATACAGATGGTTTTTGTATATTGACCTTGAATTCCACAACTTCATAAACTCATCAGTTAGTTTTAGTAGTTTGTAGATTCCTTTGGATATTTTATTTACATAATCAAGTCATCTGTGAATGCAGGCAGTTTTATTTCTAATCTATGTGCTTATCTCTTTTTATTGTCTGGGGCTCTCAGAGGTTATTTTTGATGAATCATTTGATTAATTTTGAACTAGAGTTGTCATTTCTGGTTCTAATCATAAGTATACACCATCTTGGAATTTGGTGTCAAATGACTGTATCATAATGGAATTGAAGGAGGGAGGTTAAAGAGTGATGTTTTTCAGTTGAGCTGAATTATCTTTAAAAACGTATTTTGGAGACAGAATCTGGATGCCTTCTGTTTCCTGAAGACAACAAATCCTTCTTGAGATAGCTGTTGGTAAGGTTGACAGTAGTACCCAGAATCCAGGATTAGGGTCAGGTAATGGTTTCTTTATGTTATTTAAAAAGAATATTTCAGCTTTTCTGCAAGCTTGAAAAAGGGAGTTAGTTATCTCTAATTTTCTGCACTTCTCCTCTTTCCTTAGTTTTAGCCTGAACTGCTTTATAGTGGGCATTTCTCCTAGCAAACTGAGCTCTTATGTATGTCATTGTATTATTACAGTTTGAGGCTTTTGATATGGGCCATATAAGTTTTAATTTAACACAGGTTAACCTCACTTTAAAGAAACCCAACGTATTAAAAAACCTTAGTTTTAGATATGTATCATACATGGTGATTATTCTCCTAATAAAAAGATTACTATTTGACATATTTACATAATAGGATACCTTTAGGACATTTAAAATATGGTTTAACTCAGTTCAGAATTATAAATACCTTGCCAAGAATGCGTATAAAACATTTGGGTGTTACACGTTAGGTATGGTCATAAAAACACTTTTTAAAACCTCAGTAACTCACAGAATCTTTGCTTACATATTTTCTTTATAGTTTGGGACTATCCATGCTTGACAAGTTTCTAGGTTGGTATTTCTTACCTCATAGTGGTGCTATGCTGTAATGACTATACACCTCTCCGGTGGAAAGAATAGCTATGAGAGATTAGACGCCCTATGGGAAAAATCCTTTTTTATGGTTATGTTGTACAAGTAAGGGGGCTCTTTGGAACTTTATTTATTTATTTTTTGCTAAGGAAGATTTGCCGTGGGCTAACATCTGTTGCCAATCTTCCTCTTTTTGCTTGAGAAAGATTCACCCTGAGCTAACATCTGTGCCAGTCTTCCTCTATTTTGTATGTGGGTCGCCGCCACAGCATGGCTGCTGATGAGTGGTGTAGGTCCGCGCTTGGGAACCAATCTGGGCTGCTGAAGCAGAGGACGCTGAACTTAACCACTAGGCCACAGGGCTGGCCTTGGAACTTTTAATTAAAATGTTTTCCAGTCAAGAAGTTGCTGTTTAAATGAAAATATTTGAATGCCGAGGCTTGATAAAGAAGCTTGCAAAAATCTGATAAGCAAATAAGTGCTACAGATATCATGTCACTTAAATTGATTCTACAAATTGCTTTTTTATGAAGCAATTTCTGATGTCCAGTAATGTGCGCTACATAGTGATGTTATTAGATTTGAGATTTTTTTAATAAAAGTATATTTCATTGCCATGTATCTTTTGCTGATTTTTAAAATTTATGGCATTTAATCATTTTCAGTTAAAAGTAACTCGCAGAGGGCCGGCCCCATGGCTTAGCGGTTAAGTGCACGCGCTCCGCTGCTGGCGGCCCGGGTTCGGATCCCAGGCGTGCACCGACACACCGCTTCTGTGGCCATGCTGAGGCCGTGTCCCACATACAGCAACTAGAAGGATGCGCAGCTGTGACATACAACTATCTACTGGGGCTTTGGGGGGAAAAATAAATAAATAAATAAAATCTTTAAAAAAAAAAAAAGTAACTCGCAGAGATTCTGCTTAGTAGAGAGGATATTTTTGTTTTTTGCATGTGAAGAGGCACATGGGATTTACTGTATATTCATGATTTTATACAGAGATTTATGTCACAAAAATTATTTGAAAATTATAATTTTGTAAGTCACTCGATAGTATTCTTGGGGAATTTTCTTTTTAAAGGAACACTGTGACAAATCATTTATAAAATCACTTCCTCTTGGGCCGGCCCCGTGGCTTAGCGGTTAAGTGCGCGTGCTCCACTGCTGGAGGCCCGGGTTTGGATCCCGAGTGCGCACTGATGCACTGCTTCTCTGGCCATGCTGAGGCCGTGTCCCACATACAGCAACTAGAAGGATGTGCAGCTATGACATACAACTATCTACTGGGGCTTTGGGGGAAAAATAAATAAATAAAAATTAAAAAAAAATAACTTCCTCTTGGTTATATATAACATATATAAAATAACTTCCTCTTCTACTTATGTATTTTTCCTTTTTCTTTCATTATGTGGAGGATAGCTATAGGATGAGACTTTTAGATTAATGGGCGGGAAAAGGAGAAAAAATCCATGTGGTTAATACACATATAATGGTAACTGTTGAATACTCGAAGGTGGATGTTTTTCCATTTTATTGTTAAATACAGGGTGTATTTACTTCTGGCACATGGGAAGAGAAATCAGATGAAATTTCCTTTGCTGACTTCAAGTTCTCAGTCACTCATCATTATCTTGTACAAGAATCCGCTGATAAAGAAGGAAAGGATGAAGTATTAGAAGGTAAGTTTTTACTACATACTTTTAAACTCTTGACTTGTATGAGTGATTATAATTTTGAATTATGAATTTAGTTTCCTTAATTAAATAGTGTCCTCCGGAGATGTTTTACATATGCACAGTTGTTTCACCACATCGGGAGTGTTATCTTTTCAGAGGAAGAATCATAGCATCATTCATCTTAAAATTAATTAAATCAGCAAATATTTATTGAGTGCCTAGTGTTGTACTAGGTACTCTGTTATGTCCAATTGAACCCAAACTTAAAAGAAATGTACATTTCAGTAGGGGATAAAATCTATAAGTAAGTAACAGTAATAGGAGATAGCGAGGGATAAGTGCCATCCCAAAGCACAGATAAAGTTCTGCTGGAGTACAGAGGAGAAAAGATAGTTTTAATTGGGAGAGATCAGAGGAGATGTTATAGAGAATTAAGCAACTAAGCTGGGTTTTGAAGGATTAAAAAGAGTTATTTATTGATTAGTCAGTGTAGTGTTTTGGATATACCCTAGACTTTGGAGACATAGCAAGTGGATTAAAATTCTGGTTTTTCTACTTACTAATTACTTGACCTTTCTAAACTTGTATTATCTCATTTATAAAATGAAGTAATGCTACCTGGAGCATTAATGGGAAGATTTAATGAGGTACTGTACATGAGCACCTATCTTAGTACCTGGCCCATGCTAGGTACTCAGTAAATGGTGCTTATAGTTGTTAATAGGTCACATCATCCAAAATCTGTATGGTGCTTATAGTTGTTTATAGGTCAAATCGTCCAAAATCTTTGTCCTGAGATATACTAGTGTGTAACAGTGAGTGAGCAAGATATTGAAAAAATAATGAATTTTGGAGCTGTCAGTCAATTACCCGTCTTCATTACTCAGAAAATAAATATGCAGAGTGTGTGTTAAAGTTTTTCTGGTCAGTTGAGGGCATTATGCTAAGTGAAGTAAGTCAGACAAAGACATATACTGTATGATCTCACTTATATATGGTTTCTAAAACAAACAAACAAAACAACCAAGCTCATAGATACAGAGAAGATTGGTAATTGCCAGAGGTGGGGGTTGGGGAGTGTATGAAGGGAGTCAAAAGGTACAAGCTTCCATTTATAAAATAAATCAGTCGTGTGGATGTAATATACAGCATGGTGAATATAGTTAATAATACTGTATTGTATATTTGAAAGTTGCTAAGAGAGTAAATGTTAAAAGTTCTCATCACAAGAAAAAAAATTTTTTTGTAATCGTATGGTGATGGATGTTAACTAGACTTTTGTGGTGATCATTTCACAGTGTATACAATAATCAAACCATGTTGTACACCTGAAACTAATATAATATTGTATGTCAGTTATACTTCAATAAAAATTGTAAAAAAGTTTTTTCTGGTCAAAACAGATTGTTATTTGTAAGTGTAGGCCTGAAATATTTGTGCCTTTTCTTGTATAGGAATAAAATTATGTTACCTTTTCTATTATATATATTCTCTTACAAACAAAACTATTAGCATCTACATTCAGATTCGTAAACTAGAACAGATAACATTGACCATGTATACACGTATGTAAGACAAGTATACAGCAAAATAATTAAACCAGAATATGAATATGTGTACTTTAGGAGTAAGGGGAAGAGGGAAATATATGCAACTGGTGGGAAGTCTGGATAATAGCCCGGAGACTTCTGGCTCCAAAATTCTGCTGATTAATAAAGGAAACTGTTGAAGGTAGAGAAATATTAAGTGCTGTTAATTTGAGGAAAGATCATACATCAAGGAAAAGCTGTTGTAATAAGGAAGCTTAGAATCAGTGTTTCTGAAATGAGCAGATGAAGGGGACTGTGGTATGAGAGAAGACAAATGGATTTAAGATAGTTAAGGCATTCTGGTTGCATGTGTGTATATATTGTGCAGTTTTAATTTGATTGTGATTGAAACTGAAACTAATGGTAGAAGTTACACATTACAAGCAAACCATCAGCTCAGTTAATTTGGAGATACACATTTAAAATTATTGTCCAAGGTCAGAAGATTTGAGCACTGATGTTTTATTTCATTGAAGTTGCTTATTGTTTTAGTTAAGTAGCACATCAAGACATTAGTGTTCTATTTATTCTTTTTGCAAATTAACAAAATATAAATTTGCTAAGCAATTATAGCTATACAGCAAAAGGAAATATTTTTATGAACAAGTATTATTCTTCGTGCTTTAAATTTATTATGCATTTATGAATGAATAATGATCATTGATGTTAGTATCTTATTATGGATAGCAATGCAAGTGCTTAAAGATATATGGGTTATAAGTGGGAAGCTGGTTAGTGGTTTTACAAGAACATTTAAGATGGCCACGGGCCAGCAAAGGCTAGCCATAGAAGATGATACGGAGTTGACACACCTCTAAGTAGAATTTTGAAGTAGAGACAAGGGCAGGCCAAGAAGAACAAATAAAACAAGGCTTTCTAGTAAGGATGAGGAATTGTTTGAGTCACGACGTAGAAGAAAGGAAAATATTGTAAACATGGGATTGATTTTTTTTTATAGGTTGGCTCTTTTTGAAGAAAAGAAATTGAGAGAGAGAGAAGAAAAAAATCTCCAAAACTTAGGGTTAGCCCTAAATATAAACCTTTAAGCAATTGCAAAGCTGCATGGACTAGCAAGACATGTTATATAATATGATTTCCTTAAATCATATTATAAAATTCTGCCTTAGAATGAACATACTAACTTTTTCATTATCAAATGTTTTTGTAGATGTTATTCCACAAGCTATGCAAGATTTGCTGTGTATGAATAATGACTTTCCTCCAAGAGCACATTGCCTGGTAAGATGGTAGGTATACGTTTTAGTCAGATAATTTTTAGTTTGTGTGTCAGGGAGGCCCCAAGACTCCCTTCAGGTTCAGTGATTTGCTAGGAGGCTGCACAGGACTCAGCATATATTTGAACTTAATACTGTAATTTATTATAGCGACAGCATGCAAAGCAAAATCAGCAAAGCAAAAACGTGTCTGAGGCAAAGTTTGGAGGAAGTGCAAGTGTTTGAGTCCGTTCCTAATGGAGTCACACAAGACCTACTTAATTCCCTTAATATGAGTATATGGTCAAGAAAGGAGACTTAGTTAAAGGAAATTTATATACTAGTTTTAAAATATTCTGTTCATGTGAGTTGGTCTTTTGATTTTTTTCTTTTTTTTTTGGTGAGGAAGATTAGCCGTGAGCTAACATCTGTTGCCAATCCTCCTCTTTTTGCTGAGGAAGATTGGCCCTGGGCTAACATCCGTGCCCATCTTCCTCTGCTTTATATGTGGGATGCCTGCCACAGCATGGTTTGATAAGCGGTGCGTAGGTCTGTGCCTGGAATCCAAACCTGCAAACCCTGGGCCCCCAAAGCAGAGCACATGTACTTAACCACTCCACCACTAGGCTGGCCCCTAGATTTTTAATATGGTGATTACATTGATTGATTTTTGGATATCTAACTAACTTTGCATTCCCAAGATAAACCCCACTTCTTTGTGGTGTAATTTGTATTTGTGCTTATATATATTGCTGGATTTGATATGTAATATTTTGTTGAGGACTTTATTGTCTATTTTCATGAGGAATGTTGGTCTTTAGTTTTCTAATACTTTGGTTTTGGTATCAAAGAAGTGCGAGCCTCATAATGTGAGTTGGGAAGTATTTTGTTCTCTTCTATTTTCTGAAAGAGAGTGTGTAAAATTGATGTTATCTTCTTTAAGTGTTTGGTAGAATTTGCCATTGAAACCAGCTGGGCCTGGAGTTCTCATTTTATTGAGGTGGTGGTCCCTTCTAGGGTCCAGGCTTTAAGCAGAAGTCTCAGTTCTAGCTTTTTGCCTCATGTACACTCATATCCCTGAGGGGCCATCGATTTAATTGGTGGCAAGTCCATGCACAGACAATGCTTGAATAAATCTAAAGGATACAGAAGGAAGCTGGTGTGTTTAGGTTACTTTGTCGGGAGATTGGTGACGTCATCGAAAAGATATGCAGCTTCCTACTCCCAGTTCCTCATAAACAAGGGCACAGTTTGAATGGTAACATCTGAGTGATACTGCTTCTGGAAGCATAGTTTCCAGAGCTCACCTTATTTATATTTATTATGAGGCTGGGGTATTCTTGCACACAGCCTAGTCTGGATACATGCCAGAGACCACCTGCCGTGGGCTGGGTATACTTTATCAATCTCAGAGTTATATAATTCACATTATTACTGCTAGGCTAAAATACATGGTATTTTCAGACATAAACTTTTCTTCTGTCGTTCTCAGTCTCTAGTCTGTCAAAGCATGGTCAGTTTTGCAGACATCTCTGCAAGTCATACTTACAGGCTTTTAGCAGCTAGAGGTTTACCCTGTAAAATCCCAGTCCCCAGTCCCTAGCTGTTAGAGCCTGTATCCAGAGTTTATAATCCCCTGAGTTTCTTCAGAGTCACCTCGCATGCTTGCTTCTGCCTTTCAGTTTCCTCTTTGTTTCTGTCACCCAGGAATCTTTTTGTGTGTGTGTGAGGAAGATCAGCCCTGAGTTACATCTGTTGCCAATCCTCCTCTTTTTGCTGAGGAAGGTCAGCCCTGAGCTAACATGCCTGCCCATCTTTCTCTACTTTATATGGGATGCTGCCACAGCATGACTTGACAAGCGCTGTGTTGGTGTGCGTCCAGGATCCAAACCTGTGAATTCTGGGCCGCTGAAGCGGAGTGCATGTGCTTAACCGCTTGTGCCACTGGGCCAGCCCCAGGAATCTTCTTTTTATTCTTTCAAGTTCAGCTATGTATTTTAAAAACGTTGTATTTTATCAGGTATTTTGGTGTGTTTTGGGGGAAGAACGAATCCGTGTCATGTCAACCTGCCATATCACTTTCATTTTTTTTTATTTGATCTTTCTTTTTTTTTCTTTATTGTGAAATTTTTGTTGTACATTGTTGTTTATCAGTCACCATATAAATGCATCCCTTCATCCCTTGTGCCCACCCCTCGCCCCCTTGCCCCTGGTAACCACTAAACAGTTCTTTCTGCTGTGTGTTGGTTTATCTTCCACTTATGAGTGAAAACATGCACTGTTTGTCTTTCTTTTTCTGGCTTATTTCGCTTAACATAATACCCACCAGGTCCATCCATGTTGTTGGAAATGGGATGATTCTGTCTTTTTTTATGGCTGAGTAGTATTCTGTTGTATATCTATACCACATCTTCTTTACCCACTCATCAGTCAAGGGACACTTGGGTTGCTTCCAGGTCTTGGCTGTAGTGAATAATGCTGCAATGAACATAAGGGTGCATAAGCCTCTTTGGATTGTTGATTTCAGGTTCATTGGGTAGATACCCGGTAGTGGGATAGCTGGATCATAAGGTATTTCTATATTTAATTTTTTGAGGAATCTCCATATTGTTTTCCATAGAGGCTGCACCAATTTGCATTCCCACCAGCTGTGAATTAGGGTTCCCGTTTCTCCACAGCCTCTCCAGCATTTGTTGTTTTTTTGTTGGTGATTATAGCCATTCTAACGGGTGTAAGATGATATCTTAGTGTGGTTTTGATTTGCATTTCCCTGATGATTAGTGATGTTCAACATCTTTTCATATGCCTGTTGGCCATCTGTATAGCTTCTTTGGAGAAGTGTCTGTTCATTTCCTCTGCCCATTTTTTGATCAGGTTGTTTGTATTTTTTGTTGTTGAGTTGTATGTGTTCTCTGTATATTTTGAAGATTAACCTCTTGTTGGATATATGGTTTGCAAATGTTTTTTCCCAGTTGGTTGGTTGCCTATTCATTTTGATCCTAGTTTCATTTGCCTTGTGGAAGCTCTTTAATCTGATGAAGTCCCACTTGTTTATTTTTTCTTTTGTTTCCCTTGTCCGAGTAGACATGGAATTTGAACAGATCCCCTTATGACTGATGACAAATAGTGTACTGCCTATGTTTTCCTGTAGGAATTTTATAGTTTCAGGTCTCACCTTCAGGTCTTTGATCCATTTTGAGTTAATTTTTGTGTGTGGTGAAAGAAGATGGTCTGCTTTCATTCTTTTGCAAGTGGCTGTCCAGTTTTCTCAGCACCATTTATTGAAGAGACTTTCCTTTCTCCATTGTATGTTCTTAGCTCCTTGTTGAAGATTAGCTACGCATAGATGTGAGGTTTTATTTCTGGGCTTTCAATTCTGTTCCATTGATCTGTGTGTCTGTTTTTGTACCAGTACCATGCTGTTTTGATTACTGTCACTTTGTAGTATGTTTTGAAGTCAGGGATTGTGATGCCTCCCGCTTTGTTCTTTTTTCTCAAGGTTGCTTTAGTTATTTGGGGTCTTTTGTTGCCCCATATGAATTTTAGTATTCTTTGTTCTATTTCCATGAATAATGTCCTTGGGATTCTGATTGGGATTGCATCGACTCTGTAGATTGCTTTAGGTAGTATGGACGTTTTAACTATGTTTATTCTTCGAATCCATGTGCATGGAATATTTTTCCATTTCTTTATGTCATCATTGATTTCACTCAATAATGTCTTATCGTTTTCATTGTATGGGTCTGTCACTTTCTTTGTTAAATTTATTCCTAGATATTTTATTCTTTTTGTTGTAATTATAAATGGGATTGTCTTCTTGAGTTCTCTTTCTATTAGTTCATTGTTGGCATATAGAAATGAAACTGATTTCTGTAAGTTGATTTTGTACTCTTCAACTTTGCCATAGTTGTTGATTATTTCAAATAGTTTTCCAATGGATTCTTTAGGGTTTTCTATATATAAGATCATGTCATCTGCAAACAGCGAGAGTTTCACTTCTTTGTTGCCTATTTTTATTCCTTTTATTCCTTTTTCTTGCCTAATTGCTTTGGCCAAAACCTCCAGTACTATGTTGAATAAGAGTGATGAGAGTGGGCACACTTGTTTTGTTCCTGTTCTCAGAGGGGTGGCTTTCAGTTTTTCCCCATTGAGTATGATGTTGGCTGTGTGTTTGTCATATATGGCCTTTATTATGTTGAAGTACTTTGCTGCTATACCATTTTATTGAGAGTTTTATCATAAATGGATGTTGGATCTTGTCAAATGCTTTCTCTGTGTCTATTGAGATGATCATGTGGTTTTTATTCCTCATTTTGTTAATGTGGTATATCACATTGATTTGTGGATGTTGAACCATCCCTGTGTCCTTGGTATAAATTCCACTTGATCATGGTGTATGATCCTTTTAATATATTGCTGTATCTGGTTTGCCAGATTTTGTTGAGGCTTTTTGCATCTATGTTCATGAGGAATATTGGTCTGTAGTTTTCCTTCTTGGTATTGTCCTTGTCTGGCTTTGGTATCAGGGTGATGTTGACCTCATAGAATGTGTTGGGAAGTGTTCCATGTTCCTCTATTTTTTGGAATAGTTTGAGAAAGATGGGTATTAAATCTTTGAATGTTTGGTAAAATTCTCCAGAGAAGCTATCTGGTTCTGGACTTGATTTTTGGGGAGGTTTTTGGTTACTGTTTCAATCTCTTTACTTGTGATTGGTCTATTCAGGTTCTCTATTTCTTGATTCAGTTTTGGGAGGTTGTATGAGTCTAAGAATTTATCGGTTTCTTCTAGATTTTTTTTTTTTTTTGTGAAGAAGATCAGCCCTGAGCTAACATGCATGCTAATCCTCCTCTTTTTGCTGAGGAGGACCGGCTCTGAGCTAACATCTGTTGCCAATCCTCCTCCTTTTTTTTCCCCCAAACTCCCAGTAGATAGTTGTATGACATAGTTGCACGTCCTTCTAGTTGCACGTCCTTCTAGTTGCTGTATGTGGGATGCGGCCTCAGCATGGCCAGAGAAGTGGTGCGTCAGTGCG